TCTCTCCTCTCTGTCTTTCCTCTCTGTCTTCCCTCTCTCCCGCTCTTCCCCCTCTCCCTCTTCTCTCTCCCTCTCTCTCTCCCTCTCTCTCCCTCCTCTCCCTTCTCCTCCCTCTCTCTCTCCCCTTCTCTCCCCTCTCTCTCCCTCTCTCCTCTCCTCCCTCCCTCTCTCTCCCCTCCTCCCTCTCTCTCCCTCCTCTCTCTCCCTCTCTCTCCCACTCTCTCCCTCTTCTCTCTCCCTCCTCTCTCTCCCTCTCTCCCCTCTCTCTCTCTCTCTCTCTCCTCCTCTCCCCTCATCTCCCTCTCCTCTCCCTCTCTCTCTCTTCTCCTCCCTCTCTCCCTCTCTTCTCCCTCTCTCTCTTCCCTCTCTCTCCCTCTCTCTCCCTCTCTCTCTCCCTCTCCTCCCTCTCTCTCCCTCTCTCTCCCCTCTCTCTTCCTCCCTCTCTCCCTCTCTCTCCCCTCTCTCTCCCCTCTCTCTCTCTCTCCCTCTTCCTCTCTCCCTCTCTCTCTCTCTCCCTTCCTCCCTCTCCCTCTCTCTCCCTCCCTCTCTCCCTCTCTTCTCCCTCCTCTCCCTCCCTCCCCTCTCTCCCTCTCTCTCCCTCTCTCTCTCTCCCCTCTCCTTCCCTTCCCCCCTTCTCTCTCCTCACCTCCCCCTCTCCCCTCTCTCTCCCCTTCCCTCCCTCTCCCCTCCCTCCCTCCCCTCCCCTCCCCTCTCCCCTCTCCCCTCTCCCTCCCCCCCTCCCCTCTCCTCATCCCCCTCTCCTCTCTCCCTCCCCCCTCCCTCCCCCCTCCCTCTCTTTTTCCCCCTCTCCCCCTCTCCCTCTCTCCCTCTCTCCCCCTCTCTCTTCTCCCTCTCCTCCCTCTCCCTCTCTCCTCCTCCCCCCTCCCTCTCCTCCCCTCTCCCTCCCCTCCCTCCCCCTCCCCTCTCTCTCCTCCTCCCCTCTCTCTCTCCCCTCCTCCCTCTCTCCCCTCCCTCTCCTCCTTTCTCTCCTCCACCCACACCCCCACTCCACCACACACCCCCACTCACACACCACCACCCCCAACACCACACACACCATCACACACACACACCCCACTCACACACCACACACACACCACTCCCAACACACACACACACACACCACTCACACACCCCAACACCACCACCACACACACACACCACTCACACACAACACACACACACCACCACACAACACACCACTCACACACACACACACACACCAACCCACACACACACAAAACACACACCACCACACACCACACACAACCCCCACACCCACACACACACCACCCACACCCACACACACCACCACAACACCACCACTCCACACACACACAACAACCACCTCACACACACACACACACCACACACCACCCCACACACCACACCAAACACACACCACCACACACACACACCCCACACACACACCACACCCAACAACACACACACAACCACACACACACACACACACACACCACACACACACACACCCACACACACACCACACACACACCCCACACACACCACCACACACACACACCACACACACACACACACACACACACCACACACACACACCACACACACCACACACACACACACACACACACCACACACACCACCACACACACACACCACACACACACACCACACACACACACCACACACACACACCACACACACACACCACCACACACACACACCACACACACACCCACACACCACACACACCACACACCACACACACACACACACACACACACACACACACACACACACACACACACCACACACACACACACACACACACACACACACACACACACACACACACACACACACCACACACACACCAACCACACAACACACACCACACACACACCACACACACACACCACACACACCCACACACCACACCACAACACAACACACACACCACCACACACACACCACACACACACCCACACACACCACACACACCACACCACACACCACACACACACACCACACACACCACACACACACACACACACACACCACACACACACAACACCACACACACACCACACACACACCACACACACACCACACACCCCACCACACACACATCACACACACACACCACAACACACACCACACACCCACCACCCACACAACACACACACACACCAGCAACACACACCACACACACACACACACACACACACACCACACACACACACCACACACACACCACACACACACACCACACACACACACACCACACACACACCACACACACACCACACACACACACACACACAAACACACACACACACACACGTGTTCAGTATCCTGTGTTTGTAAAGTGTGGTGAACAAAGGCTCTTTTATGTTCTTTCGTATATGGTACAAAGCTGTTGTTAAGCAAAAGTAGTCTTTGGCCCTGGCACCATAACACGCTTTTTAAAATGTTTTCTTACCCTGTAATATAATATCCTCAGTTGTTTCCTGCCCTATGGTTTCCAAGTTTCTTGCATGTTGATTATACGAGTGAATTCTTGCTAAATTTTATGAAAATAGGAATGAAGGTGCTTGTCCTGTCTCTGGGGTACTACCTCTTTCCAAGATATTTCCACTAGAACAAAAAGGCACAATACCGTGACTGGAACAACACACACAACCAGCACATAAGAGAGAGAAGCTTACGACGTCTTTTGGTCCAACTTGGACCATTTACAAAATCACGCTAACACAAACGATAGTGATGAGGTTTGTCAAAAAAAAACAAGCTAGGGGGACGGGTTATTTATATTTTCTCTTGGGTCAACGTGTAGGGTAACATTCACAAGAGAATATGATGAGGGAGGGGATAAAGAAGAGTATAGTGGTGAATGGAAGTAAGAATTTTGTAGTGTGGGAGTTAGGGGGGGGGGGAAGAAGGGAGGATGTGGTTATGAGGGAGAGGGGGCAACAAAAATGTGGTTAGGGAGGCTGGACAATTTTTTATGGTATAATCTAGTGCTAGTACATCACAGCACACAGTTGCCTATTAAGTAATCCCCTAAGGGGGGCTTTTAAGTGGTTGCCTGATTTTTTTTTTTTTTTATTTCATTCATCCAATCAGCTTCAGGTTTTTAGCACTGGTGTATGATAACTAGGGCAAGATTACTGAGACTGTTGACATGTGTAAGCTGAAGAACCCATTTTCAGCTTCCTGGAATGGATCTGATGACTTTCAAAATCCTCTGACTTGTCCCATCCTGGGACAGTCTCTACCATCCTTCTTCCCATGTAGTTTTAATACACCCTCTTAGTCATCCTGTGTTGCTCCATCCTCTCTCAATGCCAAATCACATGATTCCCTTCTCTGCCCTCTGAATAATTCATTTCAGTAACCCTTACACCATCTTCTAATTTTTACACTCCAGATTCTTTGCATAACACTCACACCTTGCACAGCTTTCAACATATGTCCACAATCTTGAACCTACTCTCTGCTCCAGTTTTTAAGTCCCGTGCCTCCTACTTGTATAAATGTGTTGGTACCACTGTTCATTGATACATTTTTCCCCATTTTGCCTCCATAGATAAGCTAACTTTCCTGGTATGCCTCGTCATTCCACCCACCTCTTTGGTAGTATAATGCAGTTCATGAAGTCGGTTTTAACATTTCACCCACAAGTGGGCTTTATCAAGACCAGTACATAATACCCATGAGTGGGCTTGATCAAGACCGGTACATAGCACCCATGAGTGGGCTTTGTCAAGTACAATACAGAGCAATGAGAAAATTTATGGTTTATGTTGGACCTCCAGAGGAGGTGGCCTGGTGTAAATAAGCTTAGTGATTAAAAAAACACTGCAAGAGGCCTACTGGTCTATGCTGAGTTTCATTTGTACCAAGATGTGTGTTATGGAAGTCACTAGTGTGAATATACCAGTTTTTTATGGTTATTAATTTGATTGTAGACATTTCCAAACAACTTCATTTAATCTTCGTCGTTTTCTTTAAGTAGTAATCGTGCTTTTTTCTATTCTATGTGGGTGTTGTGCACTTACATTATTGTTGCTGATCATTGTACAGGTGTGCTTGAGTTTTTGTAGGTTTATGAGAAGACTGCAGTTTTTCCAGTGTAAATTTGAGTCTCGTGCACTAAAGGGAATGCTTGAAACTCCTGCATCCTTGAATCCTGTGTACGGTATGCAGGTTTTGGTTGTAGCTATAGTAATATTGAAGTTGGATTTGCATAGTATATTGGTTACTCTGTTAGCCATGGTGCCATTACCTAATATACATCTGCATTCAGTGTTCCAATTCCTGACATTGATGTGTATCATGCCTGTATCATGTGTATCATATTTGGTGAGCCATACATTCGTTTACTTATTCCTCAACAGTGAATTGTGTGTGCATATGTATTTATTTATATACAACCTGCGAGCTGAGGGATAAAGTATGCAGTACTATAGACTTTGCCAGACCACACAATACTTTGGAGCCCAGCCAGGCTAGGTGTTGGATCCAAAGCAGTCAGCACTAGGCAGGTGATAAGTTTTTCATCTCGTCTCCAACATATACCGACCAACGATAGGTATTAGAATGCTTAGAATTTGCAGAACAAGCGAACTATTTATAAATAATAATTTTTTTTTTCAACAAACTGGCCGTATCCCACCAAAAATAATAATAGCGTGATTTACAAAAATCTACATTGAAAGTTTGTATGCGGATTTAAATATTGATGTGTTTCAGCTTCATACAGCTGCCATGGACCTGTAATGTATCTGTCACATTTAGCAGTAAAGAGGCAATGCAGCTGTCAGTTAGAAAAATGTAATTTTTTTAAGAGAACGTGTTTAATAAGTGTTAACCATACTATTTCTAAGGTACACTGAAGTAGTTACTGTAAACTTATACAAGCACTACAGTATGTGTGCGTGTGTGTGTGTGTGTGTAAATTGCCTGATACATATTAAATTGGTATGTATATTTGATAATTTTGTATTAATTTTCAGATGGATCTCCAGTGAAGCCCATGCAGAAGGATGGTATCCTGAAAACTGACAATGGAATCTCCAAGAGTGGCATTGCCCCCTCTATCACGAGTGGACAGCAGCAGGCAGCTGTGACTCCCGCTGCAGCTGCACAACCACCCAAGTCAGATGAACCTTCTGACTGCTACCTCAAGGATCTCTATGCACAAGTCACCTCAGTCGTAGCCTCCAAACCTGATGAACGAGAAAATATCAATGAAGGTACAGTCAGGTTGTATGACAGTTGGGTATTAATATTGTTATACACGTGTGACTAGGTTAGTTGTTAAGATTTTAACATCTATCAGTGCTGGGTCCCTTAATAATGCAATCAATTTTAAATAAATTTCAAGTTGTGTGTATTTATGGATTAGCTATATTATTAACAATATTTAAAGTAATGTTTATTGCAGTACTTTTTTTTCCCCTAAATTATTTTGGCTGCTCCTAGCTATTTTTCATGCAAATGTAAATGCTACTACGTATTACTATGGTACTCCTGTAATGCTACTGCTGCATTTGTTGCTGTTTTTTCTGCTGCTGCTACTTCCTGTTCCTTCTTTCTTCCCACTACTGTTGCCTTTTTTTTTTTTTTTTTTTTAACAAGTGGGCCGTCTCCCACCGAGGCAGGGTGACCCAAGAAAAACAAAGAAAGAAAATCCCCAAAAAGAAAATACAGTGGAACCTCAAATTTCGAACGTATCGCTTATCGAACTCTTCGAAAATAGAACCCTTTTTTCGAAGCAACTTTGTCCCTATTATCGAACTCGCCCCTATTTTCGAACTGCTGGGTACCGGACCTGTCCGGCAGCCTGCTCTGTCCGCGTCCCCATGCAGGCGCCATGAGCCAGTCTGGTTTTGTTGATGCTTGAGTGAACACTAATCTGTGTTCTCATTCAAACATTTTACAATTATCTCATTGTGTTTAGTGCTTGTGGGACTGTGAAAATAAGCTACAATGGGCCCTAAGAAACTTGCTAGTGGTACCCCTGTGGTAAAGAAAGTGAGAAACACCATAGATGTGAAGAAGGATATAATGCAGAAGTGGAATGATGTCCAAATGTTTGTGGAGAAGTACCACCCTGAGCAAGCTGAAACAAACCATCTTTGCAAAAAGTTAAGTGACAGAACCATGTCCCATTTTAGGGAAATCTTAGAGGCACCAGAAACAGAGGACTGTGGACAGTTATTTTGTGAGACAGGGGTCCAGTGACTATTAAGCTGGTCCTAGTGGCATTAAAAGACAGAGAAGGGAAGTAACCCCAGAGAGGGCTTTGATACCTGAAGTTCTCATGGAGGGGGATTCTCCTTCCAAACACTAACCCCAACTCACTCTCTCTCCTCCTCCCTATCTTCCAGATGCCATCACCAATCTTCAATAAAGGTAAGTAAAATGTTATTTTATATGTTATTTAAATTTATTAATACATAATTGAACACTATATTTGTTGTGTGTATGTAAACCTATAATTAATCTCTATAAAATGTATTTTTTTGTGAATATTTTCGGGTTTCTGGAACGGATTAATTGTATTTCCATTATTTCTTATGGGAAATATTGCTTCGCTTTTCAGACTTTACGAATTTAGAACTAACTCCTTGAACGGATTAAGTTCGATATTTGAGGTTCCACTGTAATTTCATCATCATTCAACACTTTCACCTCACTCACACATAATCACTGTTTTTGCAGAGGTGCTCAGAACACAACAGTTTAGAAGCATATACGTATAAAGATACACAACATATCCCTCCAACCTGTTGCTTTTATTGTACAGTAATCACTACAATGACTACTTGCATAATTCATTTTCCGTATGTCAGATGAATGTGAGGATCCAGCAGCAGTACCTATGATCTGGGTGAGCAAGTGGGTCGACTACAGTGACAAGTATGGCCTTGGTTACCAACTGTGTGATGACTCAATTGGTGTACTCTTCAATGATTTTACGAAGCTCCTTCTGCTTGCTGATGGAGAGTGAGTATGAAATAAAATTTAATTTTTTAGCTAGTTATACGCTTATTCATTTTGTGTAACGTATTGTCAGTTATTAGCTGTTTTGTGATGCCAAGCTAGGTATTTTGTAGCACCAGTTAAAAATCTGTATTATATCTTTTCAAATATAGAAGGCCATGAATTAGAACAGTATTATAGAATGCAAGTGTATGTTGGGGATATCACTAGCAGAATTTAGGTATCTGCTCTTAATGAAGTGAAGACTTGAATTTGTACATTTTTGAGATTTTTGGCTACATTGTGCTTCAATACCAATTGATACTTTTGTATGGCATCTCCACCTCTCCATTGCCTAACATTGATTTTACTATTTGTCCATTTCCTTTACCTTTCCCTCTCCTCCATTTGCTTTGCCACTCAGATATGCTTACTGGGGGCATTTGGGAGTCAGGTAATTCCATGAAGTGTTTATCCCCTGTTCTCAGCGAGGTGGAGTTTCCAAAGGTAACAGTCAGGTTATTGCAGTCTTTTATCACTTGAATGTATCATCACCATTGCCCTCTTGAGTACTATAATCCTTTCTCTTCACTTTTTCAACCTAAAGGCCCGAATATGAAGCAGTAGATATTCTACTGTACAATTAATTGATACTCTACACACTTGACAGTAGCTAAATATAGAAAGTTCATTAGCTTTATTCATATTGTTTTAGAGAATTTGAGAAATGAATGTCAACCATGTCCAGGACAAAATAGGCAGTACATCATATATGTCTGGAAGAACTGTTATAAGGTTTAGGTAAAGAATATAGCTAGATTATATTTATTGAGAAATTCTGAGAAGTTTATTTTTGTCTATCCCCCACACCTGCTGTTTCCAGCTACCCAGCTCTCTTAGCCCCCCTTATCCCAATAGTCTATTAAGTGAATTGTTTGTTCTTCTGTGACTAATAAATGAACTATTCCTACAGAAATATTCATTACATAGAGCGGTCGAGTGCTGAGCATTATCATCAGCTGAAAAATTACCCAGCAACACTAAACAAGAAGGTTACGCTGCTTCGTTATTTCCGTAATTACATGAATGAGCATCTATTAAAAGCAGCAGCTTCTATGTGCCCTCGAGAGGGTGATGAGCTAGCTCGCATACCTTCACTCAGGACTTACTTCAGGACGCGCTCGGCAATTATTCTTCATCTGACAAATGGCACACTTCAGGTATGTATGCATAATATAGTACTGTATGCAGGCAGACCCCACTTATACAGCAGATTAGCTTCTGGGCTACCACTGTAAAGCAAAAATTGCTATAAAGTGAATCATAGCTCCTTATTTTTTCCACTTTCAGATGAATATAAAAGTCTGGTGACATATTTAAACTATCATATATATTTAGTGAGCAGTATAGATGGGCCTAAAAAATGCATATACATTACTTACCTTAAAATATTTTCATCCTATGCTTATGAATGGGAAAAATAGGATTACATTCATTAGACCCCTTAAAAAAAAGTCAAGCTTTCACATTCATACCCACTAGCTACTTGCTCCTGTCCATTAGCCCACAAAACAATGGACTCTCTCTGAGGTGAAGGAGAAGGACCATGCAGCATGCCACATTTTTCCTCTTTATGTACTTCACCATGTAAACCAATTTTTACAGCATGTTCACTGAAAATATGCTGCAGTTTTGCAAAAGTGTTAATGGATCGCATGTTAACTGATGGTCTACTGTATGTGAAATCTTCAGCACAACAGTGGGAAACACTAGTCAAAGACTATATTCAAATCTCGACACATGCACAAGAACACTGAAGTTGTGTAAGTTTTAAATTGTACAGGCTTGAGCATCCAGCAGGCAAAGTAATCAAGGTGAGGGAAGACAAGTCTTGTTTGGGATTTGGCATGCTGTTATGAAGTAATTCAGGGAAACCAGCTAGCTGGACTTTTGTCTTGGAAGGTGGAAATACAATGCTTGCACTACAAAGGAGGGGTGAAGATGTTACAGTTGGAAAGGTCATTTCAGTTGTGATGTCTGCTCATTTGAATGTTTTCTTTTATGGGCCACCCAACCTTGGTAGGATATAGACAGTATGATGATGATAATTGTACATTAGTACAGTGGAACCTCAAAAATCGAACTGCTCCCAACACGACCAAGTATGTAAATGTATTTTTGTAAGTGTTTTTATACGTGTATTTTTGAGGGTTTGAAATGGACTAATTTAATTTACATTATTCCTGATGGGAATAAATTCATTCGGTAAAGGCACTCGAACACCCTTCTGGACCGAAGAAAGTTCGATATTTGAGGTTCCACTGTAGTTCATATTACATCTAAATTTAGGGTCAGTGTTCTTGGGTTTATTATTTGGATTGTACATTTTTTTTTTTTTTTCAACAAGTCGGCCATCTCCCACCGAGGCAGGGTGATTGTACATATAAAAAAAATGATTTGGGTGCAAATTTGGAGTGAATGGAGGATGTTGGGGTGTCTTGATGAATAGTTGGAGGGAAGGTGGAAAAGAAGTGTGTAGAGAGAGAGAGGAGCTTAGGTTATCCACATGTGAGCCAGTGATAGATTACGGGCATATGATCTTCAGAGTTTTACAAGTTAAATGTGTCACAGTGACAAGGAAAGATTTTTGTAGCTCAGTGGATCACATTGGACTATGATGTATGTTTTCTTATGGAAATTAATTTGTTAAAGTTAGTGATGGTAAATGAATATTCATAAACAATTATAATTTATGCATTATTTTTCTACAGATAAATTTCTTTGAGGATCACACAAAGATCATACTATGTCCGCTGATGGGTGCTGTCACGTACATTGATGAAAAAAGGAACTTTAGGACCTACAGACTAGCCAGTCTTGAGAAGGTAACTTTATAATGAGAAAATAGACTACATATACATGTATATCAATCAGCATTTAAGTAATGGTAAAATAGCATTACTCTTTTAAGTTCACAAGTTGTTATAACCTCGCATCAAATGTTCTGTGAGCATGTTAGATTGAAGTAAACAGAAGCAAGTGGTTTTTGAGTTATGACATTGGAGTATGCAGAAAGGAAAGTAATATCTGTGAAAGAATTCAGGAAAACCAGATAGCTGAATTGAAATTCTGGAGGTGAGAAGTACATTGCCTGCATTAAAGGATGAATGGGGATGTTACATTTCAGTAGTTTATCGTAATTGTGTTTTATTTTTCATTGCTTGATTTCTTTACAGTATGGATGCCGACCAGACCTCGCTAACCGGTTAAGATATGCCCGAAATATGATACAGAAGCTCATGGTGACTAAATCTTCAACAACCAAGTCCTCCAGCGCCTCCTCATCTGCTGTTGCTCAGCAGGTTCCACCCACTACCGCTTGAAAAAAAATAGTAGAAAATAGGTCTTGCACTCTTGGAAGGACCCAACAAGTTTTTCTTGGTGACTTTCAAGGAAAATTTGAAATAGGCCTACTTTTGGTTGGCTGGCATAGACATTGCCACATTACTGGATAATGCACTGCATTTAAAATGTTGAATGAAACCATTTTTTTTTTTTTTTGCGTGTGTGTAGCAAGATTTTAACTTTAAAACGTAATGGGTAAAGTTACATTTGTAAGATTGTACGAAATTGTGATCGTACATTGTAATTTATTTTTTAACTTATTCTTAGACAGTTATTGGCTTGGCAGTCAATTATTACCACATTTGTCATGATAATTTTTATCTTGTTACACAGGAAGTATAGAATTAAATAGCAGGATTGGGCTTGCAGCCACTACAGTGCATCTTGAAAGAGTGATTACTTATTATAGATTCCTAGTCTCTGTCCAGTGCTTGATAACTAGAGAGCATTCTTGATGTCAAAACTGATGCCATGAGGTCATTAATGCAGTGACATCAGTGCTTTTAACAGTAATTGTTTTATAAAAATGTTGTGTGATGATTCACCAGCAGTGGAAGGATATAAAATGTTTATTTTTTAGATATTTTATTTTATTCCTTTTTTTTCAGAGAAGGTAGGTTATTGCCATTGACACCTAGTACCATAGGGGTAACACAAGATAAACAGATTCTAGATTTCATCTTGGAATTTAAACTATTTTCTGTGTGCACCTGGAGCTAGTCACGGATACATTAAAAAATCCCTTCACTTGATAAGCCCTTTGATGAAGAGGATAACTAATGGGATTTGTAAAAAAAAAATACTTTAACTGAATTTATTCTAATACTTTTCAGTAATGAGATAAACACATGATGAATCACAGTATTTTATACTACTAGATTATAATTTCCTATAAAACTACCACAGAGAGGCCCTTTTTGTCATAAGTTAAATAATTTCGGTACTGAGTAATACTAATACTTTCATTTTTTATTGAAAGGATTATATAACCCTGTTTAGTGGAGGCTAAGAATACAAAATGACAATGCATTACACGGGAAGGTGATTTTAGGGTTGCGAGTTGGCTCTTGTGTTTCAATGACATCTGGAAAATCTGTTCAGATTATGTATGGTACCTAGAAGTTTGTCTTCAATACAGTATATCCTTTAATGTTGGTTCTAAGACAAGAATGGAAATATAAGATGTATTAATGGGTGTCATTACTGACAGATGTTGGCCATATAACCAAAATGATAGCATGAACCATATTTCTCCTCTTTACCTATTAGTCTAAAACAATGAATGTAAATAATTAGTAGGTTGTAATGTGTTTTGTACTCCCTGATTGCAACATACATACCTGCTGTACTAACAGTGATGGTATTGCTGTTACTCATCATTTATAGTACACTGAAAATGTTTGCCTTACAAGCCTGTGAGCAGCATTTTGTAGGTCATAATTAAAGTCACTACATAATCATTTTCATTCATCCCATTCTTGGTATATGATGAATTGTTTCCTTTTTGCCATAATTTTATTCTTGCTTCATGTTTCTATCTCACCAATTTACAGCAGTGTGATACATAAGTGTAAATAGTCCATGCAGTAATAAAGTATGTATAATGTGCTTTGTTTTCTTTACTGTTTACTGTGTGAAGATAAAATTGGGGTTTTGATATAAATTATTTTTCTTTTTCCCACCCCCAACACTGGCTGTCTCCCACCAAGCCAGGGTGACTTGAAAAATAAGAAACAAAGGTTTATCTTTTACATTTAGTAATTTTTACCGAAGGGAGTTACTAGCCCCTTCCTCCTGGGATTTTAGTCGCCTATTACGATACGCATGGCTTTTGGAGGAAGGCTTCTCCACTACCCCATAGAGTGCACTAATGTATAAGGAGATTATTTGTTCCCTGGCAATACCATATGGTGTGAGGTATATAATTTTTTTCCTGTTCTTGAATGGTAGCCTAAGTGCCTTATTGGTTTGACTTGAAAATGCATAGTTCTTATCAATGCTGTCCCCTCAAGGAAGGTTCCTTGATGTTGGTGAGGGGCTCTTGATTTAGGGAATTGGATCTGTGCTCCAGTTCCCCGAATTAAGCCTGAATGCCTTCCACATCCCCCCCCCCCCAGGCGCTGTATAATCCTCCGGGTTTAGCGCTTCCCCCTTGATTATAATAATAATAATTATCAATGCTGTGTAATTTGTGTGCATACCACAACTTTCTTGGTGATTGCTTTGCTAACTTCTCATATGTGAGAGTTCTTTATTTGTGTAACTTATAAATGAACTGAGTGCTTTACGTACAGTACTGAATTGACTTGTTTTGCCTCAATTTTTTTATGTATGTGTATGCACTGCAACCAGGTGCTGGGCTGAGTGGTTTCTTCTGAATTAGAGATTCAAAAGGACATTGGAAGCACATTATTTTATTTTAGTTTTTTATGCTTTTTTGCCAGTATTAGAGGGTATGAAAGTAAATTGATTGATTAATTTTGTGAACATTTCATGGAGCTTTGCATTCCTGTAGTTTGGTTTTAGAATTTTTATAATTGTTTGAGTTAGCTATGTAGATCATTGTCAATGCAGTAATACTCTTAAATTCAATTTTGTTTGGTGCATACGTTTTGCAGTTTTTTTTTTTTCTCTCCAACAAGTTGGCCGTCTCCCACCAAGGCAGGGTGACCCCAAAGAGAAAGAAAATCCCCAAAAAGAAAATACTTTCATCATCATTCAACACTTTTGCCTCACTCACATAATCACTGTTTTTGCAGAGGTGCCCAGAATACAACAGTTTAGAAATATATATGTATAAAAATACACAATATTTTTTTTATTTTTTTTTTATTATCACACCGGCCGATTCCCACCAAGGCAGGGTGGCCCGAAAAAGAAAAACTTTCACCATCATTCACTCCATCACTGTCTTGCCAGAAGGGTGCTTTACACTACAGTTTTTAAACTGCAACATTAACACCCCTCCTTCAGAGTGCAGGCACTGTACTTCCCATCTCCAGGACTCAAGTCCGGCCTGCCGGTTTTCCCTGAATCCCTTCATAAATGTTACTTTGCTCACACTCCAACAGCACGTCAAGTATTAAAAACCATTTGTCTCCATTCACTCCTATCAAACACGCTCACGCATGCCTGCTGGAAGTCCAAGCCCCTCGCACACAAAACCTCCTTTACCCCCTCCCTCCAACCCTTCCTAGGCCGACCCCTACCCCGCCTTCCTTCCACTACAGACTGATACACTCTTGAAGTCATTCTGTTTCGCTCCATTCTCTCTACATGTCCGAACCACCTCAACAACCCTTCCTCAGCCCTCTGGACAACAGTTTTGGTAATCCCGCACCTCCTCCTAACTTCCAAACTACGAATTCTCTGCATTATATTCACACCACACATTGCCCTCAGACATGACATCTCCACTGCCTCCAGCCTTCTCCTCGCTGCAACATTCATCACCCACGCTTCACACCCATATAAGAGCGTTGGTAAAACTATACTCTCATACATTCCCCTCTTTGCCTCCAAGGACAAAGTTCTTTGTCTCCACAGACTCCTAAGTGCACCACTCACTCTTTTTCCCTCATCAATTCTATGATTCACCTCATCTTTCATAGACCCATCCGCTGACACGTCCACTCCCAAATATCTGAATACGTTCACCTCCTCCATACTCTCTCCTTCCAATCTGATATTCAATCTTTCATCACCTAATCTTTTTGTTATCCTCATAACCTTACTCTTTCCTGTATTCACCTTTAATTTTCTTCTTTTGCACACACCTACCAAATTCATCCACCAATCTCTGCAACTTCTCTTCAGAATCTCCCAAGAGCACAGTGTCATCAGCAAAGAGCAGCTGTGACAACTCCCACTTTGTGTGTGATTCTTTATCTTTTAACTCCACGCCTCTTGCCAAGACCCTCGCATTTACTTCTTTTACAACCCCATCTATAAATATATTAAACAACCACGGTGACATCACACATCCTTGTCTAAGGCCTACTTTTACTGGGAAAAAATTTCCCTCTTTCCTACATACTCTAACTTGAGCCTCACTATCCTCGTAAAAACTCTTCACTGCTTTCAGTAACCTACCTCCTACACCATACACTTGCAACATCTGCCACATTGCCCCCCTATCCACCCTGTCATACGCCTTTTCCAAATCCATAAATGCCACAAAGACCTCTTTAGCCTTATCTAAATACTGTTCACTTATATGTTTCACTGTAAACACCTGGTCCACACACCCCTACCTTTCCTAAAGCCTCCTTGTTCATCTGCTATCCTATTCTCCGTCTTACTCTTAATTCTTTCAATTATAACTCTACCATACACTTTACCAGGTACACTCAACAGACTTATCCCCCTATAATTTTTGCACTCTCTTTTATCCCCTTTGCCTTTATACAAAGGAACTATGCATGCTCTCTGCCAATCCCTAGGTACCTTACCCTCTTCCATACATTTATTAAATAATTGCACCAACCACTCCAAAACTATATCCCCACCTGCTTTTAAACATTTCTATCTTTATCCCATCAATCCCGGCTGCCTTACCCCCTTTCATTTTACCTACTGCCTCACGAACTTCCCCCACACTCACAACTGGCTCTTCCTCACTCCTACAAGATGTTATTCCTCCTTGCCCTATACACGAAATCACAGCTTCCCTATCTTCATCAACATTTAACAATTCCTCAAAATATTCCTTCCATCTTCCCAATACCTCTAACTCTCCATTTAATAACTCTCCTCTCCTATTTTTAACTGACAAATCCATTTGTTCTCTAGGCTTTCTTAACTTGTTAATCTCACTCCAAAACTTTTTCTTATTTTCAACAAAATTTGTTGATAACATCTCACCCACTCTCTCATTTGCTCTCTTTTTACATTGCTTCACCACTCTCTTAACTTCTCTCTTTTTCTCCATATACTCTTCCCTCCTTGCATCACTTCTACTTTGTAAAAACTTCTCATATGCTAACTTTTTCTCCCTTACTACTCTCTTTACATCATCATTCCACCAATCGCTCCTCTTCCCTCCTGCACCCACTTTCCTGTAACCACAAACTTCTGCTGAACACACTAACACTACATTTTTAAACCTACCCCATACCTCTTCGACCCCATTGCCTATGCTCTCATTAGCCCATCTATCCTCCAATAGCTGTTTATATCTTACCCTAACTGCCTCCTCTTTTAGTTTATAAACCTTCACCTCTCTCTTCCCTGATGCTTCTATTCTCCTTGTATCCCATCTACCTTTTACTCTCAGTGTAGCTACAACTAGAAAGTGATCTGATATATCTGTGGCCCCTCTATAAACATGTACATCCTGAAGTCTACTCAACAGTCTTTTATCTACCAATACATAATCCAACAAACTACTGTCATTTCGCCCTACATCATATCGTGTATACTTATTTATCCTCTTTTTCTTAAAATATGTATTACCTATAACTAAACCCCTTTCTATACAAAGTTCAATCAAAGGGCTCCCATTATCATTTACACCTGGCACCCCAAACTTACCTACCACACCCTCTCTAAAAGTTTCTCCTACTTTAGCATTCAAGTCCCCTACCACAATTACTCTCTCACTTGGTTCAAAGGCTCCTATACATTCACTTAACATCTCCCAAAATCTCTCTCTCTCCTCTGCATTCCTCTCTTCTCCAGGTGCATACACGCTTATTATGACCCACTTCTCGCATCCAACCTTTACTTTAATCCACATAATTCTTGAATTTACACATTCATATTCTCTTTTCTCCTTCCATAACTGATCATTTAACATTACTGCTACCCCTTCCTTTGCTCTAACTCTCTCAGATACTCCAGATTTAATCCCATTTATTTCCCCCCACTGAAACTCTCCTACCCCCTTCAGCTTTGTTTCGCTTAGGGCCAGGACATCCAACTTCTTTTCATTCATAACATCAGCAATCATCTGTTTCTTGTCATCCGCACTACATCCACGCACATTTAAGCAACCCAGTTTTATAAAGTTTTTCTTCTTCTCTTTTTTAGTAATTGTATACAGGAGAAGGGGTTACTAGCCCATTGCTCCCGGCTTTTTTAGTCGCCTCATACGACACGCATGGCTTACGGAGGAAAGATTCTTTTCCACTTCCCCATGGACAATAGAAGAAATAAAAAAGAACAAGAGCTATTTAGAAAAAGGAGAAAACCTAGATGTATGTATATATATATATGCATGTGCGTGTCTGTGAAGTGTGTGACCAAAGTGTAAGTAGGAGTAGCAAGATATCCCTGTTATCTTAGCGTGTTTATGAGACAGAAAAAGAAACCAGCAATCCTACCATCATGCAAAACAGTTACAGGTTTTTGTTTCACAGTCATCTGGCAGGACGGTAGTACTTCCCCAAACTGCCAATATCCCAAACCCCTTCTTTAGAGTGTAGGCATTGTACTTCCCATTTCCAGGACTCGAGTCCGGTTATATAAAATGACCAGTTGCAGTCTTACGGCATTGTAATTCAGAACATTGTTATTTTTTGAAGCTTATATTTTCATTGCAGTAATCACTGATAATTGTTTGTCTTAAGTGCCTCATTTGGTAATTATTGTGAGCAAGTAATATTT